GCCCTTCAAAATGTGCAGATGGTCCTGCACGAAACCTTCACCACTATAATCAATTCTCATGTGCTGTTGTCGGGCTGTCGGTTTCTAGAACTGATCTGCTTGACCCTCATACGTCGAATTCGACGGAGAGTCGAGTCGAGTATATATATATATATATATATATATATATATATATATATATATATATATATATATATATAATTCCTTCGCGTGTTGGAATAGATTTCGTTTGAAAATATTATTTACTTTGAAAGTTCTCCACCTCAGCCGGGGCAAGTCGTAAATTGAGCTCTTCGACGCCGTTTTATTGGTTCGTAAGTTTGTCTTTTTAGATCAATTACGACTGAATAGTCTGTTCGATCCTTAGTGTGAACCTAATTCTTTCGGCTTTTGTGCCGCATTTAAGCTCCGCTTGGGTAATTTCCCTTGTTACAAATCGTACCTCCCCAACCTCAGCTACAAACACGCGACCAACTGCAATCTCGGCCATCCCGACCTGTAGGACATATTGACTACACTCTTAAGCAAGACTCTACATTTTCTAACTGTCGATGATCCTAAAACTTCTGAAAGATTCCAGTGTTTCATTCACTCTCCGCAACTATTCTAGGCTTAGTTCCAACGGACAAAGCGCCACTTTTAAAACACAAAGTATCTAATTTTTTTTTATTACTTTTTTTAAGCGTTTCACCCCAAGCAAGGCGGGAAGCCACTAGCACGCAAGGGGTTACAGAAGATTTGGAGTGAGAGCAAATAGGAGTGATAGAGGAAAGGATGAAGAGAAGGATAGGGGATAGATCAGATCATCTGGAGACGTCGATTGACATTACATTTGAATAGTTGGAGATTATAGCTATCAGGGAAACAGGAAAAGGGGAGGGAGTTCCACAGGCGAGAGGTGCGAGATATGAAGCCATTGGAGTAGAAGAGACGGCTACATTTAACAGTTTTGACAGTGAAAGGGTGTGAACAAGATGCCAGCCTAGTAGAACGCTTAAATTCATGAAAGCAGCTCATCGGAGCAGTTACCATGAAAGTATCTGCTAGATCTGTGAGAGAGCGACTGCAGACGAGATGCCAGATCAGGGCCAATTACTTTGCATATCCGTCTCTGGATCTTATCAAGAACCTTGAGACAACCAGAAGGGGCACCGGACCATATATGGCAGCAATACTCCATGCAAGGGTGAATGGTTGATTTTTAGATTTGAAAAATTTCCTGGCGCGGCACAGGGAGCCAACTTGCCTAGCGGTGGACGAAGCTACTGACTCAATGTATTTGTTCCATCTCAGGTCAGCAGTCAATGTGAGACCGAGCAGTCGCAAAGAGGAGCTCTCGAGAAGTTGAGCGTCAGACATTTGTCAGACATCTTTGTTTTTGAGGAGTTAAATTTAACCAGCCAATTCCTGCCCCAGTTCACAACCGATTGGAGGTCCTTTTCGAGACGAACGGCCAGGTAAAAAAAATGAATTTAGCTATTTTGATCAAAGAAAATATACTCAGTAGGAGACTACATCAGCAAGAGACAATAAATTAATAACAATTGAATCGAATTATTTCTTGAACCACTAGAAAGTTTCACGGACAGGGTGAACATGAGCCAAATCTGCCGATAATTATATTATGTAAGATAACAATCATTTACCTTTCATCGGTATCTTGTTACACCGCGTTAAAAGCAGCTAAAAACATGGGCTCCACTGGAAATCAACCAAAAAAAAAAAAACCCCCCAAAACGATCTAATAAATGTCTATACCCATCATATTAACAAAATAAAATCCGGGGTATACATCGGATTCTATGGTATCAGTTAATATCCCTTGCTCTTTTGAACGTTTTTTCAAGTTTTGCTAGGGATTCCAGTGTTCTGCTAGGTCTTTTAAAGTATCATAAGCAATGACTGATCAAAATCTTGGTTCCAAAGAGTACATTTTATTTTTGTTAAGGTTATATAATGTGCCAAATATGGAAGGTTTCAAAACCACATTAGGCACACCAATTCGTTCACTAGCTCAGTCACTAAATCGACTTTCAAAATCTACAACGACTCTAACTGTAGAAGTCATAACATAATTTACCTCCTAGAATGCATACTATGCCAGAAACAATATCTAGGAAAATCTGAATGGCCCTTTCACTACAGAATTAATAATTATCGCAATCGAATTAAGTCGACTCCCCATGAAAAATTATTGCCTGTAGAACAACATTTCCGCCTGGAAAAACACGATTTCAAAACCCATGCCAAATTCACTATAATTGAAAAAATTGAAATGAACAGAAAAGATAACATTAATAAAATTTTAGAAGACAAATGGATTTTACGCCTCAAAACACTCCATCCAAACGGTCTTAATCACAAATTTAACAACATAGATAGAATTAATATATAACCCCATAAATCAAGCCTTACTCACATTTCTCACCCACACAAGACAGATATGCTTGCAGAGGTGTTGAGATCTCACACTAATACACACACCCATAGTAATATATACACTTACACACATCATACACACTCCTGGAGAACTAAATGATAACATACACTTAACACAGACACATCCCCTTCCCAGGAACCAATAAAACAGTCAAAATGACCAAGGGAATTCACAGTAACATGAATCCATCCAGCCTCTATCTTAAAAAGACAATTAAAAGCTGTTTGATCAAAGAAACACTGGCCAAAATTAACGATATAAAAAAGACAAAAACAAATGAAAACTACAGATAATGTTTATTTTCTTCAGAAAGTTATTCATTCTTGTATTTCACTGCTACTAACAAGCAGACTTTTTTTTTCTCCTGATGATGACCATGCTGGCCGAAACTAGTCAAGGAATCTGAGATAATAAAACAAAAAATATTGATATACAACCCAGTGTGTCTGAAAATTTTAATTTTGTTAATTTCTCAATATTTTTTATTGTTCAAAATATATATATATATATATATATATATATATATGAAGAAATATAGTCTTAAGGTGTGCTATATTTATGGGATAAAGTGCTCAATATCAGAGATAGAGGGTGTGTAAGTATAAAAGTAAAAAATGAAGTCAATGTTCACTTTTATATTATATATATATTGTCATCCACAGACAGACTGTTTCGCTGTACCACAGCTCATCAGCGTGGCTAGACATCCGGTTGCCTCTAGCTAGGATCGAAACCCGATTGAATCGGCGTCAGTCGGGGATTCTACCACTAAGCCGTTGGCGCACAGCAGGGATGAAGGTGAATTTTAAGTGTATTTATTTTTAGATAAAAACCCTGTGACTGAGAGAACTCAATTCGATTTACCGAAGAGTCTTGCATTATTAGCAGTAATAGCCACTGTTTACTAACTCACACTTCCTCCCTAGAGAAGTCAACCGAAATAAATTTTTCAGGAGCATATATATTGTCATATGTATCAAAGTCAGCAGTAAATAAATCAGTGTTAATGGTGAAAACTGATATATTTCTCTATTGAATCATGTTAATTAAGTCACGGCAATTATGTGTGAAAAATAATATCGCCCATATTTCTGCCAATGGTCGGCATCACACGATGGTTAAAATTTTTGATGACATCTCTGCATAGTTGCTTCTCAATCTCACCAATATGTCTTATTATCTCATCCTTTAGCTGTTGAATTCTTGTTGGCTTGTTGGCTTGTTGGCTTGTTGGCATAGACCTTACTTTTGAGGTGACCCCCAAAGGAAGAAATCTAATTGCGTCAAGTCGAACGATCGTGGTTGCCAATTGACTTCGCTGTTTCGAGAGATGATGCGACCTGGGAACTTCTCATTCAAAGGGTCTGTCTATATTTCTGAGATGAGGTATTATGTACAGTATTTATATTAGTCGGACTATTGTCCTCATCTTTGTTGTCATATTTATTACAACGTTTCGGCCCTTCAGTATCTGTCTTTATTTCGGAGACGAGGTATTATATACACTATTTATATTATTCGGACTATTGTTCTCATCTTTGTCGCCATATTTATTACAACGTTTCGGCCCTTCAGTATCTGTCTATATTTCTGAGATGAGGTATTATGTACACTATTTGCATTATTCGGACTATTGTCTTCATCTTTGTCGCCATATTTATTACAACGTTTCGGCCGTTGTACGCTCCGGCCTTCTTCAGGTGGTTGGAATTTCGAACTGAAACCTTTATTTCGATCACTGGGGTAGACTGTTCTAGTTCCACGTGCCATGTTTGATGGATGTCAGTTATTAGTTATCTCCTGCTAATTTTCCTCAAGGACACATGGCACAGTGGATAAAGGCGTTGGTTAGATCCAGTGACAGACCCAAAGAAGGTGAATTCAATACCTGGTTAAAGCAGTGGAGAACTTTCAGAGGGAAAATTCAGTTCGAAATTCCAACCACCTGAAGAAGGCCGGAGCGTACAACGACCGAAACGTTGTGACAAATATGGCGACAAAGATGAGGACAATAGTCCGAATAATGTAAATACTTCTCATTCAAATTCTGTTTGAACGTCCATTGGCTTCGATAACTTTAACACGTTGTTTGATTGTTAATCTTTTCATGGTTGAAATTGCCAAAGTCTTAAGTTATTAAATCTGAAAAAAAAAGAAAAAAATCATTAAACGCTTAAACATAATTCACATTTAAAATCCGTCCAAGTTATTGGAACACCCTTTATAAAGTGCAAGAATAAGTTATATATTCGCCATTATTGCAATGAGTAGTTGCCATTTTTCAGGCAGATTTTCAGCACCTTTCGTTTAAAATTACGCACGTTATGTAGCTATCGAAAAAGGTAATAATCCGTTGGTTCCACGTCGGGTGGAGTTAGCGTGTTGGGCAGAATAGGTCCAACCGAATTACTATATTTTTCAGTGTTATTCTGTCTCTATTCGGCCTGGCATTGTCATGGCGAACAACATTTTTCCTTTAATCAACTGTCGCAGCGTACACAGTCGAGAAATATCAGGTTCTTTAGTGCAGGTAGGATGATGCATTCGAAATTATAATGACTAAAAACAAAATCATAGATAGATAGAGAGAGAGAGAGAGAGAGAGAGAGAGATGAAGATAGATAGATAGATAGATAATGAAGAGACTGTGATAGATAGATAGATAGAGAGAGAGAGAGAGATGAAGATAGAGAGAGAGAGAGAGATGAAGAGAGATAGATAGATAGATAGATAATGAAGAGACTGTGATAGATAGATAGATAGATAGATAGATAGATAGAGAGAGAGAGAGAGAGAGAGAGATGAAGATAGATAGATAGATAGATAGATAATGAAGAGACTGTGATAGATAGATAGAGAGAGAGATGAAGATAGATAGATAGATAATGAAGAGACTGTGATAGATAGATAGATAGATAGATAATGAAGAGACTGTGATAGATAGATAGATAGATAGATAGAGAGAGAGAGATGAAGATAGATAGATAATGAAGAGACTGTGATAGATAGATAGATAGATAGAGAGAGAGAGAGAGAGAGAGAGAGATGAAGATAGATAGATAATGAAGAGACTGTGATAGATAGATAGATAGATAGATAGATAGATAATGAAGAGACTGTGATAGATAGATAGATAGATAGATAGATAGATAGAGAGAGAGAGAGAGAGAGAGCGTAATGAAGAAAATGAGATAGATAGATAGGAAGAGTCTGAGAAAAAGATAGATATGAAGAGACTTAGATGGCTAGATGGAAAGATTGTGAAGTTAGATAGATAGATAGATAGATAGATAGATAGATAGATAGATAGATAGATAGAGAGAGAGAGAGATATGACGAAGCTGAGAGATAGATAGATAGATAGATAGATAGATAGATAGATAGATAGATAGATAGGAATAATATGAAAATAGATGGATAGGAAGAATGTGAAAATAAATGGATAGATAGATACATCGGCAGAATATGAAAATAGATAGATAGATAGATAGATAACAGAGTAAAATAATATATACTCAATCTATGCTCATACAAAACCGTTCCAAAAAAAAAACAAAAAAAAAAAACAAATTTAAAACAAAAGTCAGGTAAAAAAACAGAGTCACACCTCTGAGCCCTTGACTCAAATATAGACATAGATCCATTTTACACATGCAGGCTCCGACTCGTATACATCGGCACTCAGGCTTATATACATTACATTAAAACACGAATGTGGTCTTCTTCGTTCCAGTCCAAAAGCCATAAAAGTCACTCTCTTTATCTCTACGTCTCTTTGTAAGGCACCAATGAAAAGCTGAGCTCCGCTGCGGGCCGCGCGCTTTTGCGAACCAAACATTATTGATTCATTAAGACGTTTTGTTGCATCGTTGTTGATGGTCGTACAACGCCTGTTAGTTTTTTTTCCTTTTCTTCTTTTTTTCGCGCTGATCGATATCAGCTCAAGAGTAGTGGACTAGCAAGAGAAGAAATATGAAAGGTGCTTTCGAAATCTGCCTTGGAAAAATATGGATATAAACAATGGTGATAGTGGCGGGGGCGGAGACAATTGCATCAAGTTGAGCCGGCTTTTTTTTTTTTGCAGTGCACAAGTGGGAAAGCGAGCTTTTATTTTTAAGGGTGAGAGCTGGATTTATAACGGGCTGAGGTTCGCCATAAGAAAAATACAACGAACATTAAATAAGATTAATTATGAGTATTTTAACATTATTTGAAAATGCCTATATAGGAAATATTTTGGGATATTCAAATTGTAAAAAAAAATAACATTTAAAAAAAAAATGAAGATTGCGCATTTTAAAACATTAATAAAAAAAAAAAAAGGATATCTTCGTTACTTTCCTAACAGTTGATATTTAAACTGACTATAATGGAGCACTATATGTTCAGGCATATTCATTTTATTTCAAGTACTTTCGACATTAGCACAATGTCATCATCAGTTTTTTTTCTGAGACAAAATTCCTCTAAAAATAAAATTTTTACGGGTGAAGGGAAAAACGCTAAGTTTTATGTACTGTACAATTTTTAAATTTTATCATGTAGACATGTGCAGGTGTCAAGGGAGGTAACTAAGTTATTGAAATGTCTAAATATTTTTTAACGAAAAACTATTTAAAACTATTATTTAAAACTTAGATATTTTAAACTATCTACTATAAACAATTTTAAACATTTGTGCAATATTTATAATTAATTTTACTATGGGTGGGTTCCAATTTTTTTATATAGATACAGACATTTCAATAATTTAGCTTCCTCAATTATATATATATATATATATATATATATATATATATATATTGGCAGCATGTTTTCATTAAGATGTGTCTCATTTATAATTTAGACGGGTTTTATCTATTTATTTTTTAATCGGATCCTCTCATAATTAGAGACAAGTTTCTTAGTATCCTTATTAGAGGAAGAAAGAAAATTGCCATGTTGATGCATATTCATTTCATTCCGAGTACTTTCGACATTAGTACAATGTCATCATCAGGGTTTTGTTTTTTCTAAGACAAAATATTGTTGTGTTCAGCTGAAAATAAAATTTTTACGTA